TTTACCAGCTGAGCTGCTAGGGAAGCCTGAGAACAGTGGAATGGGTAGCCTATCCCTTCTCCAGGGGACCCTCCTGACCCAGGAATCAAACCAGGGTCTCCTGCCTTGCAGGGGGATTCTTTACCAGCTGAGCCGCCAGTGAAGCCCCAGTCTACCTTCTACTTTTGTTTAAATATATTTACTCTTCTTAAATGTCTCCTATGACTTTATCTTTGATGTGTCTTTTAGCTCAACTTTCAAAGTTCACTATTACTCTCAGTATTTGCTGTTACATTGCTACATTGTAAACTAAAACCTTTTAGTCACAAAATCCTAATCTATGAAAAAGTATGCATGTATATGAAAATATATGAAAAAATATACATAAAGGAACAAAATTGAAAAAATATCTAAAGTGGTAACTTTTAGACTATTACTTCATAAGACAGCTTTTGTCAATGTCATAAGTTATAAAGGTTAAATAGGTGTTTTGTGATTTTTAAGTATCTGATTTTCCGTGAGTGGAATTTATTCTTCAGTAATACTTACTCCATTCCCAACTCATGATGCTGTAACTATTCACTTTATGTTACTTAAAAAGCTAATGTATGATCCAATATGGCTGAAATCCTTATAAACAGAGAGAGACAGCAGGGATGCGGGTGCATAGAGAAAAGGCCACAAGGGCACAGCAGGAAGGTAGCCAACAGCAAGCCAAGGAGGAAGGTCTCAAGGGAAGCCAGCTCTGCTAGCACTCTATTCTGGACTTCTGGTCTCTAAAACTGTGAGAAAATACGTTTCTGTGTATAAGCTTAGAAAAGTTAGTATTACTATATGAGCATATACCAGCCTTCACTATAACTGATAAGACTCTTTATCCATCTGTCAAGTTATAAACTTTTTCAACAAGTGAAAAGTTTTGTGAAATGGTACCATTTAGTAATGCAACACCATTATACCATGCATTAGTATCACCATTCCATGCGTGTAAGTTAAACATACCAAGAAAAGAGGGCAGCTTTAAGAAAATGTGGTTCAAAATTTTTGGCACATGGCCCAGAAGTCTAAATTTTCTTATGAAAAATAGACATCTGCATTTAAGTAATAAACTCAGCAGTGGCCACAGGACTGGAAAAGGTCAATTTTCATTCCAATCCCAAAGAAGGGCAATGCCAAAGAATGCTCAAAGTACCATACAACTGTACTTATTTCACATGCTAGCAAGGTTATGCTCCAAATCCCTTAGGCTAGGCCTCAGCAGTATGTGAGAACTTCTGATGAACAAGCTGGGTTTCAAAGAGGCAGAGGAACCAGAGATCAAATGGCCAGCATCTGTGGGACCAGAGAGGAAGCAGTGGAGCCCCAGAAAAACCTCTATTTCTGCTTTACTGACGACAGTAAAGTCCTGACTGCCCCTGGAGAAGGAAACAGCAGCCCACTCCAGTCTTCTTGCCTGGAGAATCCCAGGGACAGAGCTGCCTGGTGCGCTATAGAGTCGGACACGACTTAGCGACTAAACCACCACCAGCACAAAACCTTTGACTGTGTGGATCACAACAAACTATGCAAAATTCTTAGACATTCCCATCTCTTTAAGAGATCAGACCACATCACCTGTCTCCTGAGAAACACGTATACAGTACAAGAGGCAACAGTTGAAACCAGACATGGAACAACACACTGGTTCAAAACTGGGGAGGAGGAGGACAACGCTGTATGCTGTCACCTGCTGTTTAGCTCCTATGCACACCACATCATGGGGAACGCTGGGCTGGACGAGTCACAGGCTGGAATCAACACTGCCCGGAGAAACAATCAATAACCTAAGATGTGCAGATGATACTCTTCCAAAGGCAGAAAGTGAGCCACTTGATGAGGGTCAAAGTGCAGAGTGAAAAAGCTGGCTTAAAATTCAACATTCAAAAAACTAAGATCATGGCATCTGGTCCCATCACTTCATGGCAAATAGAAGGAGAAAAAGTGGAAGCAGTGACAGACTTTCTTTCCTTGGGCTCGAAAATCACTGCAGATGGTGACTGCAGCCATGAAATTAAAAGACACTTGTTCCTTGGAAGGAAAGCTATGACAAACCTAGACAGCGTATTAAAAAGCAGAGACATCACTTTGCCAACAGAGGTCTGTATAGTCAAAGCTGTAGTTTTTCCAGGGGTCATGCACAGATCTGAGAGTTGGTCCATAAAGAAGGCTGAGTACTGAAGAATTGATGCCTTCAAACTGTGGTAGAGAAGACTCATGAGAGTCCCTTGGGCAGCAAGAAGATCAAACCAGTCAATACTAAAGGAAACCAACCCTGAATATTCATTGGAAGGACTGTTGCTGAAGCTCCAGTACTCTGGCCATCTGATGCAAAGCTCCGCCTCATTGGAAAGACTGATGCTGGGAAAGATTGAAGGCAAAAGGAGAAGGGGGTGACAGAGGATGAGACGGTTAGATAGCAACACCGACTCAATGAATATGGTTTTGAGCAAACTCTTGAAGATAGTGGACAGAAGAAACTAGGATGCAGGTCCATGAGGTCTCAGAGAGCCAGACATGACTTAGTGACTAAACAACAACAACAATAATTTCAAATATTTTAAAACCAAAACTTTAAGCTAAGTGAACAAAGAATTATAAAATATGTATAAAACTTCAGGGAAATAATAAAATATGTAGTGGACAAAAAACATCTATTTTACAGTTTCAACCCTAGAATGACTAATATCTCAGCATCACTAGATCAACTAAGACTATGTACCTTATATACTCTGCTGTACAAGCTCATAAATGAAATATTTTAAATATAATTTCTTTATTCTGATAAATACTGCTAATGAAAATTCAATGTATATAGAAATTTGTTACTATGTTATTCTCTAGTCCAAATTCCTTTGAAACTACAGGTCCTCTGGGAAGCAAATATAAAGTGAATTTTTCCTACTTTTTTAACTGTTAGATAACTCAGACAAAAAGAAAGGTTGAACTAAAATTTTACTTTTTAAATATAAAAATTTATATAACATAAACTAATATAAAGTCTAACAAATAACTTTATATACCCTCAATCAAACTAAATAAAATTAAAGAATTTTCCATAGCTTCTACTAGAAGTAGGTAGTGAATACTGACATAGTCATATTGTGTGTGTGTGTGTGGCTATTGCTAAATGTGAAAACACTATGAAACAACACCTGGCTCAACTCTTTTAATTTATATACAAAGCAAAGAACAATATGAATAGAGATATACAATGATTATTTAAATATGCTATACGTATGTACAAAGGCAAAGAGATAATAAAACAGTCTCTGCAGTCTCACTCTGATTATATACAGTAAGAAAGGATCAAAAGAGTTTGAAAGCTTGGGGACTTCTGATATACAAACTCTTCTTGAAAATGTTGGTTATAAATGATTCCAAAAGTACAAATTATAGCCAATCAATATATTGTTCTGGCTGGTCCATTTCAGTAGATTCAGAAAATCCATCAAATCCTTTGGATACTAGGCAGTTTCCAAGTGGAATGGTAGTATGACCTTAAAAGGGTTCTGCCCTCACTAACAGTGCTAAGTAAAGGGCACTTTAGATTCCAAATTGGAATAGGTTCTATCACGTTTTTTAAGCAGAGTCAATAGCCTCTAAGAATAGGTAAATAATAAAGCAAACCAAGTTAATTATATGGTAAATCTTTTTTATTACCATTTTTATTGAGATGACCCTAGCTCTTCTATAAATTACATGTAGTTTTGTGTATGTATGTGACAGTGTGTGTGTATCATACACATATAAATACTAGAACCTATGATATAAACAGAAATAATAGGGCAAAAACAAGTGAAAAAAATTGGACCATAGGTTTAAACTCATTTTTAAGTAAACAAATAAATTTATGGCTAGTAAAGGCTTTTTTTCCTATTTAAAGAGCAATCTTTTTCTGGGGAACAGAATAGTGAAAAGTAGTATAATAAAGACCAAGATGGGAAACCTTGGACTAAAGTTTGAATCCGGGTAACAAGCCCAAAGACATGAGAAGAAAAAGGTCATGGTTTTAGGAGTTCAGCATGCAGTTTATGATAAACTTTCTGACAAATGATGTCCTTGGATTCCTTGCCAATGGACCCAGGGATCTGAGAGATTCAAACCAGGGAGAGTTTACACTTACCTTTATATCAGCAATTTTCAGTATCTGTGACATTGCACTAGAACTTTTTTTTTTAAAGAAGAGTAATATCCAGAATGACAAATTGCAGATTTATTGTATAAAATTTCTAGGAGCTTTAAGTTTAAACCCCCAGATTCTTCATCCATACATGTTCTTGCTATAAGAAATTACAGAATTGAAATTTAATGCACCTCAATTATTTGCAAATGCCTCAGTTATTCCTCTTTTGGAAATAAAAGAATCTTAGACAATGTTGTTATTATCACAAACCTAGAGATCAATCATATATTTGAAAAGAAATACCTCTTAAAATATTTTACCTCCTGTCACTGAGAACTGTTCATTGAACATCCTGAATTATTCTAAGCCTCTAGGGAGATTATAAAGATCCTTTCAAGTGCTAGTATGAAATCAGTGGGAAACAGAACAAAAGCAACTTTAAAGCAACAAGAAATTATGTATCATATATACATCGTAGCAAATACTTTATATTTGTGAATCTTTACAGCTTATATTTCCATTCCATTATTACAAGTGGTGAAAAACAAAAAATTGAAAGTAGCATTCAAATTATAAATACACAGTCTTCCCATTTCACTAACCAAATTCTTACTTTCCAGTGTTACTTCCCAATTTATTCAGGAAACTGCCTACAAAGCTGAAACTGATTAGAAAATTTTTAAGTTTTAAAATCTCTTTCTCATTTTAGGAGAGACCAAATACCCAACCATCAAAATTAAAAATAAATTGAATTGGCACAGTCCATTACAGTTATTGTTACTAGATCCACTTCATTTGCAGGTGTCCAAAATAGAAAATGAATAATTCTTTATCTTCAAATATGTATGTTCCTAAAATGCTACTTAAAGCTTTGGTTGTTTTCCTGTAATAAAGAAGAAAATGTTAATTTACCAATTAGGTTGAATGAATGTAGCTTTTAATAATTATTTTATTGAACAAGTTCTGTGGCTTACTGTTTGCAGATCTAAATGCATGTTTCTATAGAAACTATTAACGTAACCGGCATTTGTCAAATAAAACAGTTTTTCATAGAAGAACATATGCAATTCATTTTAACACAGATTATATTCCAAACCAGCTCTGTTTCTGTAGTACCTAATTTTTTAACAATGTTATTAATGCAAAAAACAAAAGTAAACTCGATTTGAGTGTATATCATTTTTCCAAAATAAAGTGAACCCTGTAGGTTCCAAGGCTGGGTTGCTTCAGGCCAAACAGCTAACAGTGAGGGACAACATCTCTCATGGGACAACAGCCCCAACCATCAGCAGAAAAGCAAATTAAAGCTTTAGTGAGCATGGCCCCTGCTAACCATACCAAGATCCAGTTCTACCCACCACCAGTCCCTCCCATCAGGAAGCTTGCACAGCCTCCTAAGTAGCCTCATTCACCAGAGGGCAGAGAGCAGAGGCAAAAAGAACTACAATCCTGCAGACTCTAAAACAAAAACCATAACCACAGAAAGTTAAACAAGAAAGGGAGAGGATCATAAACAGATGAAGGAACAAGATAAAACCTCTCCAAAAAAATCTAAATGCAGTGGAGATAGGCAACCTTCCAGAAAAAGGATTCAGAATAACGACAGTGAAAATGACCTGGGATCTGGGGAAAAGAATGGAGGCAAATTGAGAAGATGCAAGAAATGTTACACTAAAGCTCAGCCAGTAAAGAATCTGCCTGCAATGCAGGAGACCTGGTTTGATCCCTGGGTCGGGCAGATCTCCTGGAGAAGGACATGGCAACCCACTCCAATATTCTTGCCTGGAGAATTCCATGGACAGAGGAGCCTGGTGGGCTACAGTCCATGGGGTCGCAAAGAGTCAAACACAGCTGAAGCAACTAAGCAAAAGCACTAAAGAACAAACAGAGATAAATACAATAACTGAAATATAAAATACACTAGAAGGAAACAACAGCAGAATAACTGAGGCAGAAGAATGGATAAGTGAGTTGAAAGATAGAATGGTGAAAATAACTGCTGATGAGCAGAATAAAAAAGGATGAAATAAATGAGGACAGTCTCAGAGATCTCTGTGACAATATGCAACACACCAATATTCAAATCACAGGGGTCCTAGAAGAAGAGAAAGGGAAAGGCCTGAAAAAATATTTGAAAAGATTACAGTCAAAAAATTGTGTAATATGGGAAAGGAGACAGTCAATCAAGTCAAGGAAGCACAGAGTCCCAGAGAGAATAAACCTGAGGAAGAACACATTGAGACACATAGTGATGAAATTGACAAAAATCAAGGACGAACATAAAATATTAAAACAACAAGGGAAAAAGGACAAAAAATATACAAGAGGAACTCCCATAAGGTTATAGGTTCAATTCTCAGAAGAATCTCTGCAAGCAGAAGGGAGTGGCATGATATATTTTAAGTGGTAATAGGGAATAACCAAGGATAATCTACCCAGGAAAGCTCTCATTCAGAGTTGATGGAGAAATCAAAAGTTTTACAGGCCATCAAAAGCTAAGACAAATAAAATGATAAACAAAAGCACCAAAGCAGCTTTGCAACAAACGTTACAGGAATTCCTCTAAGGGGGAAAGAGTACCAACTTAAAAAAAAAAACCCAAACTTGTAGATATAGGTACTGTCATATCAAAACTTCCTTAAAAAACTAGGAATAAAACCAACATACGACCCAGCAATCCCACTACTAAACATATACCCTGAGGAAACCAAAATTGCAAAAGGACACATGTACGCCAATGTTCATTGCAGCACTATTCATAATAGCTAGAACATGAAAGCAACCAATATACCCATCAACAGATGAATGGATAAAGAAGCTGTGGTGCAAGTAAGCCAGAAAGAGAAATATAAATATCATATACTAATGCATATATATGGAATCTAGAAAGATGATACTGAAGAATTTATTTCCAGGGCAGCAATGGAGAAACAAGACATAGAGGACAGACCTAAGGACATGGGGGCAGGGGAGGAGGGAGAGTGTGGGATGTATGGAGACACGAACATGGAAACTTAAATGACCATGTGTAAAACAGACAGCCAATGGGAATTTGCTGTGTGGTTCAGGGAACCCAAACAGGGGCTCTGCAACAGTCTAGAGGGTGAGATGGTGAGGGAGATGGGGGGAGGCTTAGGAGGGAGGGGACATGGGTGTACCTATGACTGATTCTTGTTGATGTTTGACAGAGAACAACAAAATTGTGTACAGCAATTACTCTTCAATTAATTAAAAACAAAATGAACCAAAAAAACTTCATGTGTGCTCAGTTGCTCAGCTGTTTTTGAATCTCTGCAACCCCATGGACTGTAGCCTGCCAGGCTTCTCTGTCCATGGGATTTTCCAGGTAAGAATACTGGAGTGGGTTGTCATTTCCTATTCCAAGACCTTCTGGAAATCCGAAGACAGAAAGAAAAACCTACCCAAACATAACAATAAAGATGGTCATCAAACTACAAGAGAACAAAAGAGGGGGGAAGAAAAAAGGCCTACAAAAACAAACCCAAAATAATTAAGAAAATGTCAATAGAAATATACATACTGATAATTATCCATAAATGTAAATAGATTAAGTGTGCCAGTGAAGAGACAAAGACTGGTAGGGTGGATACAAAAACAAGACAAGTATATATGCTGTCTATAAGAGACCAACCTCAGACCTAGAAACACAAACACAGGGGAAGTGAGGGGATAGAAGGTTTATCACACAAATGGAAATCAAAAGAAAATGGAATTATCAATACTCATATCAGACAAAATTGACTTTAAAACAAAGACTGTTATAATAGACAAAAAAAGATACTTCCTAATGATAAAGGGATCAATCTAAGAAGATGTAACAATTGTTAAATATATGCATCTAACACAGGGGCACCTCAATATATAATGGAAATACTAACATCCAGAAAGGAAAAAAATTGACAGTAACACAGTAATACTGGAGGACCTTAACTTCCCACTTTCATCAATGGAGAGATCATCCAGACAGAAAATCAATAAACAAACAGAGGGTTAATGACACGTTAGACCAGATACATTTAACTGATATTTATAAAACCTCCCTCCTAAAGCAGCAGAACACACAGAAGCAGAAGCTGAAGTGCACACAGAACATTCTCCAGGACTGACCACATGCTGAGCCACGCGAAGTGAGCCTTGATAAACTTAAGAAAATAAAGTCATATCAAGTAATTTATCCAATCACAGATCACAGCACAATGAGATTAGAAGTGAACCACAAGAAAAAAAATTATAAAAATACAAACAGGAGGAAGCTAAGCCATATGTTACTAGACAATGGGTTACTGAATAAATCAAAAAAGAAATAAAATATGCCTAAAGACAAATGAAAGTGAAAGCACAATGATCTAAAGCATATGGGATCCTGCAAAAGCAGTTCTAACATAGAAGTTTATAGTAATACAATTTTACCTCAAGAAATAAGAAAAATGTCAAATAAACAACCTAACCTTACAACTAAAACAACTAGAGAAAAAACAAACAAAACCTAAAGTTAATAGAAGGAAAAAATCATAATGTTCAGAGCAGAAATAAATGAAATGGAGACAAAGAAAATAATAGCAAAGAACATTGAAACTAAATGCTGATTCTCTGAAAAGACAAACAAATTTGATAAACTTTTATCCAGACTCATCAAGAAAAAAAAAAAAGGAGAAAACTCAAATCAATACAGTTGGAAAAGAAAATGAGAAGTGACAACTGTCACCACAGAAATACTAAGGATCATTAAGAGATTACTACAATCAACTACATGCCAATAAAATGAACAACCTGGAAGAAGTGGAAAAATTCTTAGAAAGGTAGAACTTCTCAAGACTGAACCAGGAAAATAACAGAAAATATGAACAGACCAATCAAAGAACTGAAATTGAAACTGTCATTAAAAAAAAACTTCTAACAAACAAAAGTCAAGGACGGGAAGGCTTCAGAGGTGAATACTATGAAACACGTGGAGAAGAGCTAATCCCTATCCTTCTGAAACTTTTCCAAAAACTGCAGAGGAAAGAAAGCTCACAAACTCATTTTACGAGGCCAGCATCGCCGTAATACCAAAACCAGACAGACACCGTAAGAAAAGAAAACCACTGATGAACACAGATGCAAAAATCCTCAACAAAATCCTCGCAAACAGAATCCGACAACACATTAAAAGGATCATGCATCATGACCTATAGTGGGATTTATTCCAGGAATGCACGGATTCTTCAGTATACACAAATCAATCAATTTGATACACCATATAAGAATAAAAACCATACAATCATCTTAATAGATGCAGAAAAATCTTTTGACAAAATTCAGTACCCATTTATGATAAAAACTCTCCAGAGAGTGGGCATAGATTGAGTATACCTCAATATAATAAACACCATATACGTCAAATCTGCAACTAACATTGTACTCAATGGTGAAAAGTTGAAAGCATTTCCTCTAAAACCATGAGTAAGACAAGGATGTCCACTCGCACCAAGTTTATTCAACACAGTATTGCAAGAAGTCTGAGTTACAGCAATCAGACAAGAAAAATAAAGGGAATTCAAACTGGAAAAGAAGTTAAACTTCTCACTGTTTGCAGACGACATGACACTACACATAGAATATCTTAAAGATTCTACCAAAAAACGACTGGAGCTCATAAATGAATGTGATAAACCTGCAGGTCACAAAAGTAATACACAGAAATCCATTGCATTTCTATATCCTAACAGTGAAAGATGAGAACTAGAAATTCAAGAAACAACCCGATTTATCACTGTAGAAAAATGAATGAAATACTTAGGAATAAACTTACCTAAAGAGACAGAGGCCTGTATTCTGAAAACTATAAGATGCCAGTGAAAGAAACTGAAGACACAAACAGAAGGGAAAACATACCATGTTCATGGAATGGGAATATCAATATCATCAAAATGACTGTACTACCCAAGGCAATCTACAAACTCAATGCAATCCCTATTAAATCACCAATGGCATTTTTCACAGAATTAGAACAAAAAATCTTATTTTGTATAGAGACACAAAAGACCCCAGATGGCCAAAGCGACCTTGCGAAAGGGAAGCAGGGCTGGAGGAGTCAGGTGCTGACTTCAGACCGCATCGCAGACGCAGCAGTCACAGCAGCACAGCACCGCACACAGGAAAATAGGTCAACGCCACAGGACAGAAAGCGGAAATGAACCCGCGCACCTACGGTCAATTCGTCTGTGAGAAAGGGGATGACCACACACCGGGAAAAAGACAGTCTCTTCAACAAAGGATGTTGGAGAAACTGGACAGCTACATGTCAAAAAATGAACTTAGGTCATGCTTTAACACAGACACAAAAAAAATCTCAAAATGCATTAAAGACCTAAATATGAGACCAGACAGAATAAAACTCCCAAAGGAAAATATTGGCAGAATACTCATAAATCTCAGCAATATCTTTTTCATTCCATCTCCCATAATAATGGAAATGAAAACAACTATAAACAAATAGGATCTAATTAAACTGAAAAGCTTTTGCACAGCAAAGAACACCAGAAAACAAAGTTAAAAGACAACCCCAGATTGGGATAAAATATTTGCAAATAATGTGACCAGCAAGGGTCTCTAAAATGTACAAACAGCTCACAAGGCTTAATGTCATCAAAACAAACAACCCAACAAAAAATGGGCAGAAGACCTAAATAGATGTTTCTCCAAAGAAGACATACAGATGGCCAACAAACACATGAAAAGATGTTCAACATCGCTTAGTTACTAGAGAAATGCAAACCAAAAATACAACGAGGTATTACCTCACACCCGTCAAAATGGCTATTATCAATAATCCACACTGAAATGTTGGTAGGAATATAAATTGGTACAGCCCTAATGGAGAACAGTATGGAGGTTCCTTAAAAGACTAAAAGTAGCATCTGGTCTCATCACTTCATGGCAAATAGATGGGGAAACAACGGAAACAGTGACACATTTTATTTTCTTCAGCTCCAAAATCACTGCAGATGGGGACTACAGCCATGAAATTAAAAGATGCTTGTTCCTTGGAAGAAAAAGCTATGACAAACCTAGACAGCATGTTAAAAAACAGAGACATTACTTTGCCAACAAAGGTCCATATAGTCAAAGCTATGGTTTTCCAGGAGTCACGTATGGATGTGAGAGTTGGACCATAAAGAAGGCTGAGTGCTGAAGAATTGATGCTTTTGAACTGTGGTGTTGGAGAAGACTCTTGAGAGTCCCTTGGACTGCAAGGAGATTAAGCCAGTGAATCCTAAAGGAAGTCAACCCTGAATATTCATTGGAAGGACTGATGCTGAAGTTGAAGCTCCAATACTTGGGTCACCTGATGCGAAGAGCCAATTCATTAGAAAAAACCCTGATGCTGGGAAAGACTGAAGGAAGGAGGAGAAGGGGATGACAGAGGATGAGACGGTTGGATGGCTGCCGTCCATGGGGTTGCAGAATCAGGCAGGACTGAGCGACAGGACAACAGCAACAAGAGCTGCCATGTGACCCTACAGTCTCACTCCTGGGCATACATTCAGAGAGAATCATGGTCTGAAAGGATAAGTGCACCTCAACGTTCAGTGCAGCACAGTTTACAACAGCCAAGACATGGACACAACCTAACTGTCTGGTGATAGAGGAGTGGGTAAAGATGATGTGGAACATATATACAATGGACTACTACTCAGCCATTAAAATAAAGAAATAATGTCATGTGCAGTAACATGGATGGACCTGGAGATTGTCAATAGTGAAGTAACTGACAGAGAAGAAGAAATATCATATGACATCCTTTATATGAGAATCCAAAAAGAAATGATACAAATGAACTTTACAAAACAGAAGCAGACTCACAAACTTAAAGAAAACTTTATGGTTGCCAGTGGGGTGAGGATGGGGTAAGGGGCGGTTAGGGAAGTTGGGATTGACATGTACACACTGCTGTATTTACGATGGATAACCAACAAGGTCCTACTGTTTAGCACAGGGAACTCTTCTCAGTGCTATGTGGCAGCCTGGATGGGAGGGGAGTTTGTGGGAGAGTGAGTGTATGTATACGTATGGCTGAGTCCTTTTACTATCCACTTAAAACTACCACAGCATTGTTAATTGACTATACACAACAAAATGTTTCAGAAAATAAAGGCAAAGAAACAGCCAAGTCATGTTGCAGAACATGTTGTTCTACTGTATAAAAAAGTACCTGAACAGGACAGACAGCCCGTAAACAGACCACCCGTAAACAGACCACACATAAACATTAAACTAGATGGCAGATATTCTGCTGGATATTGCTAGGATGACTGGATATCCATGCAGTAAAAAATAAAACTTCATCTGTATCTCATAATATATAGTAAGATCACCTGTGTATCTCACAACCTATAGTAAAACCAATCATAAAAGTTAGTTGAAAAACAAAACAATAAGACTTTTAGAAGATAATGTAGGATCTCCTTCCATTACCTTTCAACAGAAAAGTATTCCCTAAAATGTAATTCCATCCTATTTGTTGACAAGAGTGGTGATTAGTTACATAATTGGTCATATATGTAGATTTATGTACTTTTCTGAATTATATTTCACAATGAGAAAGATTAAAAATGTTTAAAAGGCAAATATTTTAGAATTAAAATAATATGGAAATCTCTGGCATATATTTAAAATGATACAAAATTAGAAAATGCTTACTGGTTTCTGAAGGACAATAGGATGATCAGGTAGAAAGTCTGGTTTTTTCCTGCAGATGGAAACACTTGAGAGCTTCAACAGGAAATCTCTGCTGTATTTGATTCTCTCTGTAGATAGGGAACATCAAACATAATGTTATAAAGCACAGAGTCTCTCAGAGCACCTTTGACTCCTTTCTCACTAGATGTCCATTATCAGTCCGTTATTTTATAAAATGTAAGTAGTTTTTAACATAAAGGAGAAGGGAGGGGCATGAACTCTGACAAACATCTACTGCCTCCCATGTTCCTTTTACATGGAAACAAAGCCAATTAGCCACGGAAAAATTTCAGAACATTGGAAATGCTTGGCTTCTTTAATATGGTTATTCACAAGCAGTAGAGAAATCTTATAAAATATAGCAGGTATAATACCTATTGGGCAATTCATATCCTGCCAAAGTGGAACTCTAATAAGCCTATCTTTATGTTTTTGAATTAACTTATGAAAAATTTATACAATCAACATGAATTCAAGAAATATCTATTGTATACCTATTGTGAATCAAGGACTATTTGAGGTAATGGTGACAAAGCTCCAAGATAGGATCCCTAACTTTAAAGGGAACAATGATTCAAATACCTGCAGATTTCTCATCAGAGACTATCACCGTCTTGGTCTATACTGGACATTTTCTGGGCCAGAAATAGTGGAGCTGTAATTTTTAAAATGCTAACAGAAAAGGACCGGCAACTGAGATTTCCATATTGTGAAATAATAGAAAGACTATATATTGCTCTGGTTCCTGGTACAGAGATTCTTTTCCTTTTAATTTCCTAAGTGATAAGAACACTAAGAGCATCTTTCGTTCTAATATTTCTTTCTTGACCCTGGACTCCTAACACAGAGCTCCTAAATTCCTTAAAAATTTCTGGGTGATTTGGTCTTCTGTTCTAGTGAGATGATTCTTGGTGGGATCCTGGGTAGTGGTTGGTCAGCTAAAAGACCAAGCGATAATGAGAAGCGTGGACCTTTCAGCCACATCCCTATATCCTCTGAAGGGGACAGGGGTTGCAGATTGAGTTAAAGAGAGATTGTGCCTATGTGATGAAGCCTCCAAGAAAATCCCCAAATCACAAGGTTTGGGGGACTCCCTGGTGGCTCAGTATTAAAGAATCCACGCATCAATGCAGCAGATGTGGGCTTAATTCTAACCCAGGAAGATCCCACAGCCCGTGGAGCAACTAAGCCCGCGCACAACTCCTGAGTCTGCGCCCCAGAGACCGGGAGCCACAAGTGCTGAAGAAGCCCCTGCACCTCAGAGCCCATGCTCCGCAACGACAGAAGCCCCGCAACTAGAAGCCCACGCACTGCAACTCGAGAGCAGCCCGAGCCTGCCGCAGAGAGAAAGGCCCATGCAGCAGTGAAGACCCAGCACAGTGAAAAATAAATAAACGAAAATTTAAAAACAAACCTGTTTAAGAAAGAAAGTTCAGGGTCTGGAAAGTTTCTGGGTGGGTGAACACATCCATATACCAGAAGAGTGATATTATCAAATCTGTGGGGAAGAAACTCTTGCACTTCGGGTCCCTTCAAGACTTTGCTTCATGTATCTGTTTATTTGGCTATTCAGTTGTTTTCTTTTCTTTTTAAAATATTTTGTGGTTTTAAAACTGGAGGATAATTATGTTATAATATTGTGATGATTTCTGCCATATATCAATACGAATCAGCCATAAATATACATATGTTCCCTCCCTCTTAAAACTCCTTCCCACCTCCATCCCCACCCCACACCTGTAGGTTGTCACTGATCACAGGTGTTGGGTTCCCTGCATCATACAGCACGTTCCCACTGGCTATCTATTTTACATATGGTAATGTATATGTTTCAATGCTACTCTCTCATATCATCCCACCCTCTCCTTCCCTGACTATGCCAAAAAGTCTGTCCTTAAAAAAACTTGACTTAAAACTCAACTTTCAAAAAACTAAGATCATGGCATCCAGTCCATGATGGCAGATAGATGGGGAAACAATGAAAACAGTGAGAGACTTTTTGGGGGGCTCCAAAATCACTACAGATGGTGACTGCAGCCATGAAATTAAAAGACACTTGCTCCTTGGAAGAAAAGCTATGACCAACCTAGACAGCATATTAAAAAGCAGAGACATTACTTTGCCAATAAAAGTCCGTCTAGTCAAGGCTATGGTTTTCCAGTAGTCATACATGGATGTAAGAGTTGGACTATAAAGAAAGCTGAGCACTGAAGAATTGATGCTTTTGAACTGTGGTGTTGGAGAAGACTCTTGAGACTCCCTTGGACTTCAAGGAGATCCAACCAGTCCATCCTAAAGGAGATCAGTCCTGAATATTCATTGGAAGGACTGATGCTGAAGCTGAAACCCCAATACTTTGGCCACCTGATGCAAAGAACTGATTCATCTGAAAAGACCCTGATGCTGGGAAAGACTGAAAGCAGGAGGAGAAGGGGACAACAGAGGATGAGATGGTTAGATGGCATCACCAACTTGATGGGCATGAGTTTGAGTAAGCTCCGGGAGTTGATGGACAGGGAAGGCTGGAGTGCTGCAGTCCATACAGTCACAAAGAGTCAGACACGACTGAGCGACTGAACTGAACTGATGGTTACATGATACTGTACATTTATAATGGCTTAAATAATGAGTTTTACTTCAATAAAAGAGATGAAAAAAGAAACCTAAGGATTGCAAAGAGGATGTCTCCAGATAAAAACAGTAAAATTCATTCCAGGACAACAGTTTCAGAGCAGTACTGAAGAGGAATTAATCCGTACTGGAACCAGATAATGGAGCAGTCTAAAAGAAAAGTCATCTCCAGGGGAAAAAATACCAATTCACACATTTTACCATAAAGAAAATATAGATTATAAGTGTGGCAGAGTTGCTGGAGCAACTGATGGCAAAATTAACAACAGTTACATAGAAAAACAAGGTGAACATGAGCTCCAGAAAAAAGGATGGATTTTACGAATCAGGTATGTACCTTTCAGCTAGGCTACTGAAATTACACAGTTATATATAATATAAAGAGTGATGATACTCTAACTGAAACTTAAGTAACTATATGGTGGAGAGGGGGTAGATAGAAGAGCTGAAGAAATGAGGGGACTGATGTGGAAGATATAAGGCCTCATCTTCCAAAAGAGGATGACAAAATATAATATAGAAATGAAAAATATAGAAACAATTTAAATATTTTATTTAGAACATGGAGTTAAGTACTAGAAGAAAATGTTAACAGGGTTTAATTACATATAAATTACATATACAGACTGGTTGACAAAATTTGGAAACTACATTAATAAAAAACCTTTATTTTAATAAAAAGTAGCTGGTGTGGGAGAGACTATCGGTTTTTCCCAAGAGCAGTTCTTCCTTTCTGCTTCTGTGATAAAGTGAGCTGGTTGCAAAGCTAAAGATTACATTTTCCAGTCTGCTTTGTACAGCATGACTAAGTTCCAGCCAATGAGACATTAAGTGGACGTTATATACGGAACTTCTGAGTCATAGTTTTAAGAATCTTCTTCCTCCCTACTTCCTTCCTGATGGCTAGAAAGAGAATGTGATGGCCAGAGCAGAGGCATTCATCTTGGGCAGTAAGATAGAAGCCATATATTAAAGATGGTAAAACCATAGGACAGTTTAATACTGGGGCTAGTAGCAACTTCACAGAACAGAATTAATATATCAGCTTAAAATTTTACATATTACAGAAGATATAGAAATCAACTTCTATCTTGTTTGTCACTGTAATGATAGTCTCCTCTTTAAAGCAGTCAAACCTATAATTTGTAATATACAGAAATCAACCAAAAGAATATAATAAAATTTCTAATGTACATAAGGTTTGCAGGTAAGCAAATATTAACTGTACATGAATGCTAAGAGTCTCTTATGAAAGTTGGTAATTATGGTAAAAATTTACCTTTTTTAACTGGAGAATGATGTTGTTGTTCATTAAGACCTTGAGAAAAGGCTTGCATTCCATTCGTCTTACACTATTTATAGAAGAAAAAAAATACACTTTTTAGCTAAGGTTTTAAAATTTTATATAACACTTTGTTTTTAATCCATTTTGAGTTTATTTTTGCACACGTTGTTAGGGAGTATTCTAATTTCATTCTTTTACGTGCAGCTGTCCAGTTTTCCCAGTACCATTTATTGAAAAGACTGTCTCTTCTCCACTGCATAGTCTTGCCTCCTTTGCCACAGATTCAGTGACTACAGGTGCCCGGGATTATCTCTGGGCTTTCTACCCTGTTCCATTGATTTATATGTCTGTTTTTGTGACAGTACAATACTGTTTTGATGACTATAGCTTTGTAGTATAGTCTGAAGTCAGGGTGTTTAATTCCTCCAACTCCGTATTTCTTTCTCAAGGTTGCTTTGGCTATTTTGATCTTTTGTGTTTCCATAATACAAGTTAACTTGATTGTGGTAATCATATCACAATGCATATGTATATTAAATCATCAGGTTGTATACCTTTGAAACAAACCATGTTGTATAGCCTAAGTGTATTCAATTTGTATTTGTCAACATATCTGAATAACAGTGAAAAACAGTAAATTTATTCTATCATGCCTGCACATATTAGCCACTGAAAATGGAGATAATTTCAAATCTTTCATAGTATTTAAGAAAATGCACCTACTAAAATTTTCTAAAGTGTCTTACCTCATTTAATTGTCTTATCTCATTTAATTGTCATAGTCTTACAAGGAAATAAGGCAAGCATTACAATCACCATACTACAGGCAAGGGAAATCAAGACAAAAAGTATTTAGTAACAAATCCCAAAGTACACAGGTAAGAGGTAGTTGAGATAGCTTTTGAAACTGATGGCTACTGCATATAGTTATTAAGGATGTGCATATGAAGGGGTACCACTCACAGCATGGATATAGCAGATTTCCTACCAGATGGCAGCAAATTATATTCTTTTAACAAAATCTGCACTTTTGTATAATTTTCTGTTCCTCTTCTAATTCTTGTAAAGGCACCAAGTGGGCAGCAGTAGACTTTTTAAACCCACTCATTTATCAAAAACAAAGTGCTTGTTACATGACTGATAGTGTGCTTTGTATTGGGAAGACAAAGATGAACACAACAGCCCAGGATTCATTTTTGGAGGACTCATAAACTAAAATGTAGGCAGAACAATAAAATACTAAATCATAATAAAACTTGAGAAGTTCTCTAAATAAAGATATGCAGAAAGTACAATGGGAGGAAGGGGCATCAAATTTGACTTAAAAATTTCAGGAAAGGCTTTACATAGGAAATGATGCATAAACAATACTAATAGGGTTAATAGGAGTTAGAACTGGATGACGACTGAAAAATGTATGTTTATTGAAGAAAAGCAGCCTTGAGTTGGAAAGCATGGTACTAAATAGCTAGCTCAGGGAATGAAAAAAGTTAAACAGGCTTGAGTAAATCAAAATAAACACCCGGCTTTTTTCCCCAAGGCAAGGCACGTTGCAATTTGCAGTAAAATACCCCATCTGCATGCCCAGGTATTCTATTGAGCCTCTTCAATTTTCTAGCAAAAATGTTTCCAGCCCCTCTCACTCATTTTACACAAATGCACACCACCGAAATAAAGGAAGGAGGACAGGAAGAGACAAATTCATATCAACATCCATTTCAGGGTGAAAATTTAAACAGGAAGATTTATAAACAATATCAAAAGACAAAATCTAAACAGGAAAAATACTTTTAAAGAGCTAATTTCTGTAGTATGAAAGAGCTCCCAGAAAACAATGAAGCCTATAAAAAAGGAAAGGGCAAAGGCCTTAAATTGGTAAATACAGATGAAAGGAAATTCATATTACTCTTAAACAGATCAAAATTGGTCACACATTCTTGACATTCTTTCATCTCTCCACTGAATCTGAGCAAGATCCGTGACTGCCCAAGACCAATCTAAAAATGACAGGCTAAAAATGACCATCTAAAAATGACAGGCTGGTTTCCAGGCCTCAGTCTTGAAGCCCAGACACTGTGCTGTGAAGAGCCCAAGGCCTTTGGGGAGGCCGTTTGTAGGGGCTGCCTCCAGTCTACGGGGCAGATAACTCTGAACCGAGAGCCAGCATCAACTACCAGCCATGAGTGAGCCACCGGGCCATCCAATCCCGTCAAGACTTTAAAGCACTCCAGGCCTGGACGCTATCTGACTGCAGCCACGTTACTGAGAAATGGCCACTGAAACCCACCAAGACCACAGACCCATGAAAGAGAGTAATAAGGAGTTGTTAAGTCAATGTTTTCCGGAGAAGGCCTGGGGGGCTGCCGTCCATGGGGTCACACAGAGTCGGACACGACTGAAGTGACTTAGCAGCAGCAACAGCAAGTCAATGTTTTCAAGTAATTTTTGTGAGGTAATAACAAAAAAAAACAGACTAAAGGAAGTCGTTCAGGCAGAAGGAAGGTAATGCCAGACATAAACATGGATTTACATAAAGAAATTAAGAGTGCTGGAAAAGGAATAAATGAAGGTAAAATAAAATTCATCCTTTTATTTTAAAAAGTTATTTTAAAAGATAGTATACAAAAGCAAAAATTAGTAACAATGTACTGTGTATTTATAGTACAAACCATAGTAAAATTCTGACAATAGAGAAAAATGGGAGGGAATACGCTATAAAAAGGTTATGAGATCTAAGAAGTGAGTTTAACAAGGTCAATGTACAAAAATCAGTAGTATTTCCGTATTATAACATCCAAAATGTGGAATTTGAAATTTATAAAAAAAATACCACTTACAATAGTATAAAAAAAATACAAAATGCTTATAAGTTTGACAAGAGTTCAAGACCCCTATGCTGAAAAATACAAAGCACAGAGAGAAATGTTTTGCTTATGGATCAGAAGACAATATTAAGATGGTAATTCTTTTCAAACTAATTTTTAAACAATCAGAATTCCAATAAGCCTTTTTGGTAGAAATTTACGGGTTCATTTAAAACTTCTGTGGAAATGCAGAGGACCCAGAATAAGAGAAATAAGTCTGAAAAACTATAAAGTTAGTGAATTTTCATTATCTGACTTATCAGAAAGCTACAACAGTCTGTAAAATTTGATGTGGACCTCGAGATAGGTAATCTAGGTAATCTAGTGTACAGCAAGATGGCTATAGTTGACAGTACTGCATTGCATACTTGAAAGCTGCTAAAAGAACAAATCTCATACTGATGTCAACAAACTCTCATGATTCAGTGAAAGAAAGGTATACAACCCAAACAGTAAAAACATGCAAAAGATTTGAACAGACAATTCACCAGAAAGAAAAAAAGAAAAGAAAAAGACAGATGGCAAATAAACTCATGATAAAATGCTCAATCTCATTAATCATTAGGAGAATGCAAATATAAAATACAATTAGATACAACTACTCACACACTAAAATGGCTAAAAATTAAGACTGACTATACCAAGTGTCAATAAGGATGTGAAGTAACCAGGACACTCACACACTACTGGTGGTACAACCACTCTGGAAAACATTTTAGCAGTTTCTAAACTGATTTAACATGATTCATCAATTCCACTCCTGGTTATTGTGTGTATGTATACACAAAGACCTGAACACAACTATCTACAGAGCATTATTCATAATATTTATCATAATAAATAAACTATCCTATATTCATACAGCAGAATACTATTCCAAATTTAAAAGAAAATCACTACCAATATTTAATCTCAAAAACATTATGCTGAGCAAAAAAAATCTAACACCAAAGAATATATTGTGTGATGTCATTTATATGAAGTTTTAGAGCAGCCAAAACTGATTTAGAGCTAAAGAAAGCAGATGAGCAGTTGCCTGGAGCAGGAGGGAGCACTCGGACTAATGGAAGTGGAAACAGTAAGTGACTGAAAAGGAATAAAAGAGCACTTCCGGGGAAGCTGAAAATGTTCTATGGCTTCATTGTGGGGTTGGTTACATGAGGTATATATTGATATTTGTCAAAACCCATTAACGAATGGATTCATTTTACTGTATGTAAATTATGCCTTAACAAAGTTGGTTTAAAAAACACAAATGGTAACAAGTGTCCTTCATTACAAATCATGTGATATCTCTGACATAGGTTCTGGTAGCTTTTGCATTACACTTGAAGAAGCAGAAAAAATTTTAAGCTTAGAAGTAAATCTAATTAATTTATTTTTTATAAGGTTTTGCAATATTAACATACTCCTTTTTACTTACAAAGCTTTCAAAAGAAGGTCAAGGGCTCCAAAGAAAGTTGTTATACTATACAATATTCTTACTGTATTAAGAAGGTAAATTTTAACTGCTGGGACAGATTAAACAAAACATTACAATGGCTTAAAAATTTATATAAAACAAGAATAATTAAGATATCAAGGTACTGACACAGAGATACACAAATAGATCAATGGGAAAGTAAAGTCCAGAAGCGGTCCCTATTTATATAAAGGTTCATACAGTAAAGGTGGCATGAATCTATATGGAAGGAATATTCAATGAATTGTACTTTACAACTGACTATATGAAAAAAATTGACTCTACTTATATAAAAATTAATTTCAGGTAGATTATACACCTAAATATTAAGGCAAAACTTTAAACTTTTTAGAAGAATATGTAGGGAAAATGTCTTTTGAGCTTAGGGAAGGGAAGACTACATAAACAATGACACAAAAAGTGAAATTATAAAAAAAAATTGATAATATGCCTACATAAAGATTTTAAAATTTGAAAAAAGAAACACACAAAAGTAAACAATTCTTTCACAGACCAAGAAAAATTGGCAAACAATAGGCAGTCATATATCACAAAAGAGAAAATCCAAATGGCCAAATTAAACATAAAAAAAGATGCTGCCTTTCAAAGTAATAAAGAATTAAAAATTAAAACCAAGAAAGATATATTTCTCACACATTAAACATGAAAAAAGTGAAAGTTTGCAATAATAAGGTAAGGCTGTAGAAAAATCAGAGTACTTAATGCATTGTTTGTACAAATTATTCTGGAGAGTAATCTGACAGTATATAGCAAGTCTACTCCAGGTTTATATTGCAGAAGACCTTTCAAACATGTATAAAATATAACATATAGATGGATGTTTATTATATAATAGCATTTATTATAAAATATTTATATTTCTATTATAAAATATAAACAAGTATCATACCCCTCAACAAAAAAATGGAACAAGAAATGTGGTAGCTTTACACACACACATACAAACAAGTCTGTCTGTTATAGCAAAAGTACTAATACATTCATGGAAACAATGACAAATTGAGGATACTTATCCTGGGGAAGTACAGGAAGAAAATGGATATACAGGGGTTTTTAACTATATATGTAGGATCTTTTAATTTTCTAAAATAAAACAAAATATTGAGATTTGAAAATGGTGAGCAATGGGCATAATGAGTCGCTGATTCTCTTAAGTGTATGCCTGAAATATATCATAACTTTTTAAAGTATATGATGCATTTAATATAGTATCTGCCACACAAGAGCCATCTAACAACTGCTACTTTCCAGTCTGTAATGCTTCATTTTTTTAGAACTTCTAAGACTTACTCTGCTAACTCCACTTTGTAAGTACTGGGTGTTGCATGGATATTCATTCTGAAAGTTGAAAGGGAATACTGCTCCTGTTAGGAGAGAAAAAAAAACTGTTTTAAATACTTATTACTTCAATAAATGGTATAATACCACCTAAAAAACCCTATGCATCTAGGATATGATAGGCACTGTTTTGAAATGTTTTCTGAGAGTTCATTTACTCAACACAATGAAATGTCAGCTACTGTGTTAGGAGATGGGTTTATAAACATGAAAAAAGTTCAGAGATAAAAGACTTCATAGCCTATTTTTTAAAACAAGCTCATAAATAATGATTATAATAAAAATAAGTTATGTGACAGGTACAGAGAAGATACCAGGGGAGAGAAGATTGGGCTTTGGGCATATCAACTAAGGCTTAACAAAAGGAAATAATTCAGTCTGGGTCTTGAAGAAAAAGTAGATTTCTTTAGGGATGTGAGTTTCCCAGAGAATAGAGAAGTATGCTTTAATGCTAAAATTAATTTCTGATTTACCTAACCTTTCTGCTTAATAAACCCCTACTCCTGTCCACATCTTAAGAGGACATAGTGAAATGAGAGATGAGGGCTACCAGCCCACTCCTACCTACTGCTAAAATAGCCTTCGAGCGAAAGAATCCGTGAAAAATGGAATCTGTACAAATGAGGGAGGGAGGGATACTGTAAAAAGGCTAGTCACAGAAACAAGTAGCTGACAATGGTTTTATTTTCTTTGCTTTAGGACAAAATGAGACTTGGCTCTACACAACTGCTTCTTCAGTGTACCAGAAGAATGCTGAATCACATCAGCATTGCTAAACTATGGTCCAGAAGATCTCTTCATTTCATTTTGTCTGTCCTAAGTCATGGCCATCTTCAGAGGAAACATGACCCAAGTGTAGACAATCTTCTTTGTAGGAACCAAAGATGGAAGGACAAGTAGAGGACTGAGGAACCGTATCATTTCTATCTTTTCTGCTTCATCTTTGTGTTCAATAAAAGTGCTATGTTTTCCCTTTTCTAGGTAGCCAGTTACTCAGTTGAACATATGGACTAAGCAGAATTAAAGTAACTTTTATACACATATATGTAAAATATAAATATATATAGCTAATAGTGAAAAAGAATAAAAAATTATTATTCCAATTTGGAATTAAATATGAAGTATTTCAAGAATTTGTCCAAAAGTTTAGTATTATGACCAAGGGAAAATATTTTAACTTTAGAAAATTTAATTTTAGATTTCCTGAAAAATTAAGACTTTCTGTTCAGCTAAAGCACAGCCCTAATCTGTAAGTGTTGCTTTGCACTAATTTTTTTCAATTAGGTATTTTATTAAAGGCTAATGCTCTCTCCAGCATGACTGCTCGGCAGTGATCAAAATCACAGGACATGGTTTGCATTAAGAGTATCATTCTGAGCATAAGCCAGTTGTTAACCATGAAAATGAGACATTAAAAAAAAAAAATCCATGAGTTGCTCTTAAGCAAAAACTGTTCTTCCCATCTTTGCTGGTCTGGTAGACTATGGACTAGTAGACCATTAAGAATCCATTTCTTAACACAAGTCAAAACCACAATGAGGTACCACTTCACAGGTCAGAATAGCCATAATGAAAAAATCTACAAATAATAATTGCTGGTGAGAGCAATTCCAATCACTGCTGGTGGAAATGTAAATGGGTGCAGCCACTATGCAAAACAGTATGCTGCTGCTGCTGCTAAGTCACTTCAGTCATGTCCGACTCTGTGCAACCCCACAGATAGCAGCCCACCAGGCTCCTCCGTCCTGGGATTCTCCAGGCAAGAACACTGGAGTGGGTTGCCATTTCCTTCTTCAAGGCATGCATGCATGCTAAGTTGCTTCAGTTGTGTCCAACTCTGTGCGACCCTATGTATAGCAGCCCACAAGGCTCCTCCATCCACAGGATTCTCAAGGCAAGAATACTGGAGTGGGCTGCCATTTCCTTCTCCAATGCAAAACAGTATGGAGGTTCCTTAAAAAACTAGAGTTATCTTATGATCCAGCAATCCCCCTCCTGAGTATGTATCCAAAAAAGAGAAAAACTCTTTAATTTGAAAAGATACATGCATTCCAATGTTCACAGCAGCACTATTTATAATAGCCAAGACATGGAAATGACCCAAGTGCCCATTAACACATGACTGGCCTAAGAAGATGTGGTATATATATTACTCAGCCATAAAAAGCATGAAACTCTGCCATTTGCAGCAGTATGAATGGACCTAGAGAATAGTATACTTAGCAAAGTCAGTCAGATAAAGACAAATATTATAGGACACCATTTATATGTGGAATCTAAAAAATAATACAAATGAATCTATAGACAAACAGTAACAGACTCACAGACACAGAAAACAATCTGTCTTATGGTTACCAAAGAGGAGAGGGAGGAGCTGAGGGATAAATTAGGAGTATGGGCTTAACAAACTATTATACATAAAACAGATAAGCAATAAGGGTTTCCTATACAGCACAATTAACTGTACTCAATATCTTATAGTAACCTATAATGAAAAACAATCTAAAAATATACATATATGTATACATATATATGTGAGTGACAGTCACTCAGTCGTGTCTGACTCTTTGCGACCCCATGGACTATACAGTCCACGGAATTCTCCAGGCCAGAACACTGGAGTGGGTAGCCTTTCCCAGGGGATCTTCCCAACCCAGGAATTGAACCCAGGTCTCCCACATTGCAAGCAGATTCTTTACCAACTGAGCTATCAGGGAAGCCCATACATAAATATATATAAAACTGAATCATTGCTGTACACTTAAAACCAACACAGTATTGTAAATCAATTATATACTTCAATAAAAAAAGAATCCCTTTTCATTGGTAATACTTCTAAATTCTTCAGAGATCATTGGTTTTCATTATCTTTAAATATCCACCATAAACTATTTATGTATTTTATACATATTTATGTATTATTTGGCCTTTCAAATACTAATGAACTATTAGCCAATTAATTTTTTAAATGTGGATACCAGATTACTCACCAGGGGGAGAACTCAGATGACGAACAGGTCTTGCTGGTTGAAGCGGTTTACCAATCAACTTTTTGGTTTCCATTTTCATAAAGATCTTGAGGTTCCATACTTTAGGAGGGAAAAATACAAATTGCTTTAACACATATACTAACAAAACAATGACATTACCACCATATGACCCAGCAATCCCACTCCAAGGCATATACCCTGAGGAAACCAAAACTGAAAAAGACATATGTATCCCACTGCTCACTGCAGCACTATTTATAATAGCTAGAACAGGGAAGCAACCTAGATGTCCATCAACAGAAGAATGGATAAAGAAGTTGTGGTAAATAGACACAATGGAATATTACTCAGCCATAAAAAGGAACACATTTGAGTCAGTTCTGATGAGGTGGATGAACCTAGAACCTACTATACAGAGTGAAGGGAGTCAGAAAGAGAAAGATAAATATCATATTCTAACACATATATATGGAATCTAGAAAAATGGTACTGAAGAATTTATTTACAGGGCAGCAGTGGAGAAACAGACATAGAGAACAGATTCATGGACATGGGGAGAGGGGAGGAGAGGGTGAGATGTATGGAAAGAGTAACATGGAAACTTACATTACCGTGTAAAATAGACAGCCAAGGGAATTTTCTGTATGGCTCAAGAAACTCAAACAGGGGCTCTGTATCAATCTAGAGGGATGGGATGGGGCGGGAGATGGGAGGGAGGTTCAGAAGGGAGGGGATATATGTATACCTATGAATGATTCATGTTGAGGTTTGACAGAAAACAACAAAACTCTGTAAAGCAATTATTCTTCAATAAAAAAATAAGTTAAAAGAAAAGAGGACTAAAAAAATAGAACTTACAATTAAAAAAACCATGGCATTCATTTGAATATAACTATTTTATAAATTAAAGTGGAAAACACAAAACAAGAATTTAAAACAACCTGCAACCAAAGACCCATTTCAGCATCTGTCACAACTGAATATTCCCTCTTTAAAACATTTCCCTCCCTTAACTTCCCTCTTTTCTATAGGTTTTATTTCCTATTTCTTTGACTGCCTCTTTTAACTTACTTAGATGATTCCTATTTTTCTCTAGTTAAATTTAGGGATTAGTCCAAATTTGGCTTTGATTCTCCTAGCTAATTTCATCTATTCTCATGACTGCAACTACCTATCTACATAAGTATGCCCTTATTTACACATCCAGCGTCTACCTCTCTTTTTAAATAATGTGACGATGATAAATGGTTTACTGTGCATGACACATGGATGTTGGCTTCTGTTTCTATTGTTAATAATTCGGGAGGTGATGAATCATCACCTCCTGAGTATATTATTATATTAACTATCTTTCTAATTGCCAAAAGATATTCCAATTTATATCTTATAGTATGTACCTCAAATTCAACATATCCAAAATTAAATTCATTACTTTGACTCCAAAGATGTCCCTCCTGTTGTATTCCTTAAATTTATCTAAATTAGAGCCCCTCACCATAATCAGTCTCTAATTCCATTCTAGTACTAAAACATCACTCAGATCTATTTTCTTCACTCCTACCACTACCCTTTTAGGCCCCGGTAGTTCTTACTGTATCTCCCTGAACACCTGCTGCTGCTAAGTCGCTTCAGTCGTGTCCGACTCTGTGCGACCCCATGGACTGCAGCCCACCGGGCTCCTCCGTCCATGGGATTTTCCAGGCAAGAGTACTGGAGTGGGGTGCTATTGCCTTCTCTGCCCTGAACACCTAGTCTGATTTAATTAAATACTGCCTTTCCCTATGTACCTATGTACCTGGGACAAAATGAATATGGCCACATCATGGCACTTAGAGAACACTGTACTATACTATTTACTGAACTGTGACGGCTGATTTGTCTTCCATACTAGCAAAAGTGAGGGACAGATTCTTCTCAAAGTAAGGAACAATATTTTCATTCCTCCCGTGTCCCTTGCAACTAACTCAGTACTTGGACTGGATCCAAAGTAGGTCCAAAACAAGCATTTGGTGAACAAAAAGGAGAATATAGCTTCTTTTCTCTCCAAATTATGATCCCTTTACACACATATCTGCTTCAAAAACTTTAGTTCCCCATCACCTGCTGAATTATTAATAACAGAAACATGAGCCGACCTCCACGTTTCATGCACAGTAAACCATTAACTATGCCACATTATTTAAAATTCAGAACAATTTTATAAATTAGGCACTATTAACAGTTAGAGCTCAGGTCTTGGGTCAACCTACCTGGGTTCTTATCACAGCTCTACCACCTAGTTATATAATTATGGAAAACAATAACCCCTACCTCCTAGGTTTGAGGACTACACAAGAACATCTGTATACATCATTAGCACAATGCCTGTTACATCGTAAGAGTTCAATAAATGTTAGTTTTATAATTTTTTAAACCTCATTTTCCAGATAACGCTTAGAGAAATTAGGTAACTTGTCCCAGGTCATGAGTCTAGAAAGTGGCATTTATGCTCATCCCCATGCTTCTAGAGTGAACACCCTACAGTCAAGCTAGCCCCTTCCTCTCTCTCCACCCCGACATAGGCAGAACTGTCCAGGTTTCGTTAAGTACCCTTCTTCTATGTTCACAAAACACCCATGCACCCTCTTCCAGTGTGGCATTTATTACATTAGCTGATTATAAAATCATAGCTCCATCACTCTAAGAGCCAGAACACTATCTAATGTACAGCATCTCTCTAAGGGCCACCACAGTGTCTAATACACACTACATGTTCAATAAATTGCTGAATTCATAAATGTCACTATGCTTCACCATATATCTATAAACTCAGGTTTTCTGGAGTTCCCTCACTCTTTCTGCTGCTCTTCTTTCAACGCTAACATTAAATAAAATAGTTCATGTGAAGTTCTCTGTGTGGGCTTACTCGCTCAGTCCTGTCTGACTCTTTGCAATCCCATGGACTGTAGCTGCCAGGCTCTTTTTTCCATGGGGATTTTCTCCAGGCAAGAATAGTTGAGTGGGTTGCCAAGCCCTGCTCCAGGGGATCTTCCTAACCCATGGACCAAACCCAGGTCTCCTGTATTGCAGGCAGGTTCTTTACCACTGAGACACCCAAAGATATGTGCTGTGCTGAGTTGCTCAGTTGTGTTTCACTCTCTGTGACCCCATGGACTGTAGCCCGCCAGGCTCCTCTGTCCATGGGACTCTCCAGGAAAGAACACTGGAGTGGGTAGCCATGCCCTCCTCCAGGGGATCTTCCCAACCCAGGGATCAAACCCAGGTCTCCTGCATTGCAGGTGGATTCTTTACCATCTGAACCACGAGGGAAGCCCCCCAATACTGGAGCGGGTAGCCTATACCTTCTCCAGGGGAACTTGCTGACTCAGGAATCCAAATGGGGCCTCACATGTTGTAGGCAGATTCTTTACCAGCTGGGCTAACAGGGAAGCTCAGATGAAGCTCACAAGAAGTTCTCTAGTTTCTAACAAATGGTTAATAGTAAAATAACAAGAATAGTAACAACAATAATGATTTTCTTTCTTCCTCCAGTGGCCCATATTGTATTCTGACTATTTTTCTAAACTATATCATACAAAAAATCTATCACAAGCCTAACAGATTAGACAGCTGAAGTAAAAAAAAAAACTGGTTTTGTGTATCTTAGTAGCTGCAACACAATCAGTTTTACTAAATACATCTATAAATTTAAATGTCTCTTATTTAATGAAAATTTACTGATGTTTGAATGAATCAAGTTTTCCAAATTTTGATGCCTATCAAGACGAAGTCAAAAGTAAAACTCCACCAGATTTTCACTTAATCTTCCAGAAACTGATTCTAACCATATGATCTTGAGCAGAAGTTGGTCTAAGTGACTGTTTCCCTAAGTATAAAATGGGGTCAATCACTTTCTTTACACACCAAAGAAATGCTTTCATCTAATTCTTCTGGACATAATTCAAGTGTTAAAATCATAAATTTATAAACAACCTCTCAAAGTTAGCAATGATAGCTAAGCACAAAATAGTTACTTTTTCTTGAAGTTTGGAGATAAACAAATCTGACGCGAAGAGATGACTCACTGGAAAAGACCCTGATGCTGGGAAAGACTGAGGGCAGGAGGAGAAGGGGACGATACAGGATGAGATGGTTGGATGGCATCACCGACTCAATGGACATGAGTTCGAGCAAACCCTGGGAAACAGAGGACAGGGAAGCCTGGCATGCTGCAGTCCATGGGGTCGCAAAGAGTCAGCCACAACTGGGCAACTGAACAACAATATCCCAAGCTAGCACCCATCTAGATCTGTAATGGGGATGCTAACTAGTATTTCAGCATGGTGAGTAACAACCTTCTAAACAAAACAAATGCTGTATGTATTTGTTGACATTACACAAAAATAGGATATAACAGGAAAAAGTATATGAAGAAAAAAACCACTTTATTGACTGAATATTTTCATATGAAAGAGATATTTTAACATGGACCTAAAAGTAGTCCAGCACTTCATTATTTAATATGTATCCTAACCACTTTAATTAGGACCCTAATGTCAATACTAGTAGTAGTAACTTTCCACCCTGTTCCCCATGAAAAGAATACAATAGACTACTTTGGCACACACTTTTTTTCCATTGCTCAGCTGAAATTGAGTTGGTACGTTGTAAAGTGTATTCCAGTTGCTGAGCAAAGCAAATCCACAGTATTCAAACCAGGGATTTTCAAGAGTTTAGGAGTTACAGAACTATTATATCAGTTTGCAATACAAGTAAATAAACAAACAAACAAAAAAAAACCACCAAAGATATTTCTGTACCCTCCTACCCTTTCCCTTTTCAATCTGTAGTAGGAAAACTACTACAAATTGAGAGGCCTGGCGGGCTACAGTTCATAGCATTGCAAAGACTCAGACACAACTGAAGCAATTTAGCAAGCACGCACTCTTTCAAAAATTTGTAGTAGGGAAACTACAGCAAAGGCTCCAGATATATAAATTCACATTTCATACAATATTCTATTCAATATGATTTTTTAAAAGTAAACTATGCCTGCATAGAGACTGTGATATTATAGGAAGTAAGTTTGGGATG